ATCCTGGACTCTACAAACTTCCCAGTCCCACTGAGCCAGGTCAGGTGGTAGAGAGGCCGAGAACAAAGCTTGTTTGTGACTTCTGAATCAAAGCTTGTGACTAGGGGGAGGAGCTACAGTGGTGGGCAGGCGGTGGGGGTGCCAGATTGGACTGTGTCCCTGATGCAGGGAAAGAAAACCGAATTGTCTCTCTTTTTTTATGTTGTCCTCCTGCCAATCCCTCCCCCTTCTCTCCCCTCCCTCCCTCCCTCCTTCCTCAGCTCTTCGCACAGCAGGATTTTCCAATGGCAGCTTGGGAAAAAGGTCCGGTGGTGGCAGCATGGGCAAGAAACCCAGCGTCACCACCGGGAAGAAACCAGGTGTCTTGGGAAACCAACCAAGCGCTCCGTTTAGAAGCAACGTGTATCAGCCAACCGAGATGGCCGTCATGCTCAATGGAGGGACTGTAAGTATCTAGGTGTGAGCCTCAGTGTCCCATTCTGTGTCCACAGCTGCTTTTGGCAGCTGCTTTTTGGGGACAGGCAGCCCTGCCAGCTACCTGCATGCAAAGCTTCTGTTTCATCTTCCCCTCTGACCCCTTTCACCACACACAGAACATTCACCTCTGCCCACTCCTTCTTTCTTGGGATTCTTTTTCCCAGTGAATTTCCTAACTTCTCTTGGGGAGAGGCGACATGAATGAAAAGCCCCCAATGATAAGAATCTCCCTCTCAGATTTGGCTGATGTCCACCTAGATAAAGCCCCCCCTCTCATCACCACTCTGGGTAATGTGTCCTAGCTGGGTACTACCCTCTCCCAACTCCCTGTAAGAGACATCTTGAAGAACTGAAGCAATGACCATTTGTCTTCCTCAAAGACAAAAGCTGTTTACTATCTGATGCCAAACAGATCATCAGCAGAACTGTCGCCCTCTCCGTTTTTGCCTCTGTGAAGTGACATCATTTTGCTTCTCCAGCAAACCAAAGATGCTCTCTCATCCTTACATTTATTTTCCAAACATAGCTACATGCTTCTTTCAGCAATGACCCATGAGCCAGTTTACATATGTAAATTGGATTGCCATTCTTTATTTCACATGACCATTTCATAACAACCTGAGTTGTTTTGGGGTTTTGTTTTTGTGTCTTTCAATGGAAGTCAAGGATGGTTTGATCTTGGGTGGGGAGCTTTGTCTTTTCTAGCCTTCAAAATGGAACCTGCTTGGCCCTTGTTCACATTGGTTTGGAACAAGCACAAAAAATCAGTCACAGATTTGTGTTCTTAAAACCCCTCTGCAACCCTCTGAGTTTATTGTCCCATTAAGGAAAGTCAGGATTCAGGAAGCTTTGGCTTGTGTCCTAATAAGTATGGCCAGAAAAGGCCAGATCTATCACAATTAATTCCTCCTTGTCCTTCAAGGCCAATGTGGAGAAATAAGTACCAGGTCTTAGAATGGGATTAAGTTAGAAACTAAGGACACACCCAGTGGTAGAGTGCTCAGAATGCTCCAAGGTGTTGTATTCCATCTCCAGCACACCAAAAAGGGAGGGAGGGAGAGAGGGAAGGAGAGAGGGAGGGAGGGAGGGAGGGAGGGAGGAAGGAAGGAAGGAGGAAAGGAAGGAAGGAAATGGAAGAAGGGAGGGAGGAGAGGGAGGGCCTGGGTAAGGAAGCATATTCCTAGGTCAAAGTAAGATAAACACCTCCACCCCACTCCCACCCCCTACCCCCGGGGCACATTGTGGTAAGGAGGTCAGCTTCTGACGTCATCTTTGCCAACCACCAGAGTTCTCAGTGTGTTACCCTTGTGTGTCATTCCAGATCCCAACCGCTCCGCCAAGTCACACTGCAAGACACCATTGGTGACAGACTTTTCAGTTCCAGAGAATAAGAATCTCTCTTACCGATTTTATTCCCTGGCCGTGTCTTTCTTGAGGGAGAAATCAGTAACCGTAGCCGACCCAGGCCACCTTGCAGCCAGCCAGGAGATGTGAAAATCCCAGCCAAGGGATTTCGTGTAAATGTGAACCCGGATGAACTGAAAAGCTAACACTGACTGCCCCGCCTCCCCCCCCAACACACACACACACACACAATGCTAAACCAACCTATCTGTACACACTGAAGCAGAGCTCATTGCAAATAGTGTTAGGGCTCACTCAGAGATGTGGCTAGGAAGAGAGGTAGAATAAAACCAAATTGGGCCCGGCCGAAGTTGATTTATTATGGCAGAGGAAGGTGGGGAGACACCTTTCCACCCTCCTCCAACGAGGCTGGACCCTAGGGGGCCTCTTGGAAATGACCTAGTTGCTGAGCACAACTCCGAGCTTGCCTGTGGTTGTTACATTTCAGAGCTTAGAAGTCTATGGGAGTGATAAGCTGAACCCAAGCAAAGCATGGGGGAGCTTCATAATCAGTAGTGGTGGAGGGACGCTGGCGCGGGCCAAAGAAAAAATACTCTGTGGGCCTTGAAGTGACCAACTCACGGAGAAAGTGGTGACTCTTGCTGGAGCCTTATTGCTGAGGCAAGAAAAGCAAGCCCCTCCCCCTGCCTATTTGGGCAAGCAATGGCACCTTCTCCCTTAACCATCTCTTATTCCTGCACTTACAGATGCCCCTCTAAGACCTTTCCCAATCATATTCTCATGTCCATGTCAAATGCTCAAATCAGATCAGTCACCCAGCTTGAACCTACCATCCTCTCCCCCCAACCTTTTTGGAGACAGGTTGGAAGGCCAGGTGCCACAGCAGCCTTTCTGTGATGATGTCCCATTGTTCCCCCACTCCCCTAGGATGGAGAGGTGTGGTATTCTTCTGTCCAGCAAATATGGCTGTGGGGAAGGTTCCAGGGTAGAGTGAACCATGTGAGGGTTTCTTACTTCTGGAGGGGGGTGGGAGGGTGTATGCACCTTGGGTTTTTGTTGTTGTTGTTGTTATTTTCTTTTTTGCTGGTTTCATGCAAATGGCTGTCCTCCAAGCCCATTTTGCTTCTGTCGTGATGCCCATCTGTCCTGAGCAAGTCATTCCTTTGTTATTTGGCATTTGCAGCATCCCAGCCATTAAAAGCCCTGTGTTCTGTGCACTGTTTGGCCAGCATAATCGCCAGCACCCATTCAAGGCAAAAGAGTTTTTAACCTGACGGTGTGGAATGTAGACACAAGGGAGGGGCCTTCTGCATCTAATCACTATGTTGCTTTTTCTATACAACTACCCATAAGCCTTTAACCTTTAAACAAAATGGAAAAAGAAAAAATAAAAGGGTTAGTGTTCGGAGGAAGAAGGGAGGACGTGAGTCCTTCAGAAGCCAGTACATCTGAGCCAAGTATGTTTTAATAAACCTGATTTTTTCCCCCCATCGGGACCCTAGTCTTCTGCTGCATCCCCCTTCCCTACACAACCCTGCCCGTCCTTGCAGACCGCTGGGGAGATAAAGGCCAGTGTGGTCAGCCATGTATGGCCAGCCTGTGGCTTTTCCTGACTGCTCGTGTATTTCCATGCATGGGGGCAAGAAAGCATGGCACTGACCTATTACTGACCTATTACTCCTGCCTGACGCCTCAAGCATGTGTTTCCTCTTAGAGAGCTCCCATCATGCCTCAGGCTGAACTGAGGGTCTTGGGGAAGGAGGGAGTGCAGCTAGGGTGGGACTAAGGGAGGTGCATGTAGACTGTGCGTTGTGAAAATGTAAACACTCGCTGAGCACTTGGGGGCCCATCCTGGTGGAGGCGGAGGACACCAGCAGTACACCTTCTCCTGCCAGGAGATGGTCGCCCAGCCCCGCTGTCTGGAGTCCTTTGGAGCTTTCTGATGCCATCCGTGACTCACCCAGACCCCCTCCTTACAGAAGGGGGGAGTTCACCCCATCACAGTGGAAGTGAACGCGGGACAAATGGCGATCCGCAGATCATCTCTGAGCCGTGGGAAATTCCTTGAGACCTTTAGGGTATTTGTTTTTCCTTTTCAAATCTCTTTGGTAGGTTAGTGCGCCTCTGGGTTTTTGTTTATTTTGGCTTTCTTCTTCTTCTTTAGGACCAGGGTGAGCTGAATGTTCTCAGGATGGGTGGAGGTGGGAGTGAGGGCAGAGGGAGAGATTTGCTATTCTTGCCATGGTTCAAAGTTCAATCTGAGGAGTGCCAGGAACAGCTCTTCACCACCCAGAGCCTGTGGAGGCAGCACCCCCCACCCCAACAAAGCTAAAGTACAGACTGGCCTGTCTTTTTAAGATCTGCTGGTGTAAACAAAATGGGGGGGGGGTCCTGCCACCACAGCGGCATCTGTGAATAATCCCCAATTGTAAGCACAAATCTTCACACATCCGGTTAGTGACAGACATCTCTTTGGGACTATCCTAGCCACTCCTGTCCCTTTTATGAAGCTTGTTCTATCTTGGGGTGAGGGGCCCAGAGAATGAGCTCTGAGATTTTACCATTTAACAGACAGGGAAGGCCCTGTGTGCCTGCTGGGTTGCAGGGTTTTGATTCCCTTGTTGAAAGCTGGGCATCCAGAGCTCCCCACCCCCAACCCCAGCACAGATGCAGTCAGGGCTACAGAACAATTGTAGAGTAGGGACAGCTTCTGGGTTAGCCAAGACTCAGGCTGAACCCCACATGAAAGGAAGGCTCTGTAGCTTTGATAGGCGAAGATGTTAGTAAAGATGCCAGCTGATGGCGGTTCTCGGCAGGTGCTTTTTCTTAATTGATCCAAGAGCTCAGGCTCATTTTGATAGATAATATATATTTATTAAGAGCACTCACGTGTGTTTTATAATGTTCCTTGATTTCCCCTTTGCTGACTCGCATATTCAGAAAAATAAAAATCATTCAAGAAGCTTCAAGACAATCAATATGTACCATACATGACTGTAATATAAATACTGCAGAGTTAAAAAGTTGTGAAGCATGGGCAGATAGGTTTTATTTTCAAAATGCTGTTCTTAACCCAAAAATAAAGGCTTTACTATTTACACAAGACGTGTGCTAGCTTGTCGAAATCACCCACACTGGGCCTTTTGCTGATTCTGGGATTTTTTTTTTTTTTCTGAATGGGAGAATCTTGGTTCTCAGAGGAAACTGCAGAAGGAATGAATGCAGTAAGTTAATTTATCCGTAATAAAAGCAAGACTTTAATACTTTGGGGCCTAGACAAGGGAAATTCTTCGTGATCCTTGTCTGGCTTTAAGTAAGCCTCATGTTGAGCTGGGAATGTATCTTGGTGGTCCGGTCGGGCAGCTGCCCAATACCACAAGAAATGAACAAAAGAGAGATCTGACACTTCAAAGTACAGATCGTTTTGAAAGCGGGAAAAACAGTGACACAGCACCTCATCTCCAGTGTGGATGAGATTCCATGGTGTTTTGAACAGAGGCTGGCAGGGGATGCTCCGGAAGCAGTAAGGAAGTATCAGGATGTAGAGAAACACTTCCGGATGATGCAGCAGGCGAGGCCTCCTCCCCACTGCTTACACTAAAGCTTGTCTGCCACAGATCCTTTCTGGGCTGCACTGAGCAAGTAGTTCTGTTAATTCGAAATGGAGAGCACACTGGACATCTTCCTGGCCTAGGATAACCAGTGCGCTAGCCACGAAGGGGAAGAAGGGGCGCAGAGTTAAGGAGATGAAATTGTGGCTGCATGTACCTCCTCCTCGTCCTCCATTTTGCATTTCACTGCAAAGAGATGAAAGAGAAAAGTCAGGATTGGCTTCCACCGGTGGGCATATCAGCTTTTGGAAGCTGGGAGGGGGTGGACCAAGCCCGTGGCTGAGCATCTGCTGGGTCTCCACTGTGGAGGCACAAGTCAGTTTCTGCATGGTTCAGGCCATTCTTTTTTTTTTTTTTAAGTCCTGGGGCTGGAACTCAAGGCCTGGGTGCTGTCCCTGAGCTTCTTTGTGCTCAAGGCTAGCGCTCTACCACTTAAGCCATAGCTCCACTTCTGGATTTTTCTGAGTAGTTTATTGGAGATAAGAGTCTCACGGACTTTCCTGCCCCGACTGGCTTCAAACCATGATCCTCCCATCTCAGCCTCCTGAGTAGCTAGGATTACAGGCATGAGCCACCAGCACCCAGCTAAGGCCATTCTTAATCCACTGGGAAATGATCAGACACACAAACTCAGGACCCCATTCCAGAGGTATAGAATCAAACGAGAGAAGAGGCCCAGTCCCCTGCATTTTAACAAGGCCATCAGGGGGGCTCTAATTGGTGCCACATGAAGTTTTGAGGCCTACTGAGTACAGGCTGTCTACCCTGGCTGCTGATAAGATTAAGGGGTGGGGTGCCTGAGTCTCACCCCAGAAATTCCACTGCCACAGGCCTGGGGTCCTGCTGACAGCATCAAAGCTGTGGGTGGCCAACATGCAGGCAGGATTGAAAGAGACTGCTGCTTTTGGTCTTCCCTTTAAAGAAACGTGACTAGGAGACCCTCAAAGGAGTCCAGAATCCTCTGGGCGTCACCTCCTTTCCTGCTGGCTGCCTGTGAGTATCAAAACTTAGACTATTGGAAAGACATTGTCTCTGGTCTACCACTGCAGAGGGCACAGGTGGCTGTGAGAAGGGGGAGGGGGACAGGCTTCCAGGAGGAATTCCCAGCCCTTGGGCTTCCTCCTTTAGCCTGAAGGAACAACTTATCTGCTTGCATTGGTCTAGGGCTGCATCCAGTCCCTGCCACCCCCTACACTGGCGCACAGGCAGGACAAGGAGGGCACTGCAGATGTCTTTAGCAGGGGAGGCGCGGAGGGCTGAGCTAGGGACTTCTGCTCTGTCCAGGCAGGAGCTGAGACCCACCATCTAGCACAGAAAGGTTGGAAAGAAAAGTGGCAGCCAGGCTTCATGGGCTCACGCCTGTGATCCTAGCTACTCAGGAGGCTGAGATCTGAAGATCAAGGTTCAAAGCTAGTCTAGGCAGGTAAGTCTGTGAGGCTCTTCTCTCCAACTAACCAGTAAAAAGACAGAAGTGGAGATGTGGCTCACATGGTAGAGTGATAGTCTTGAGCAAAAAAAATTCAAGGGTCAGCATCCAGATCCTGAGTTCAAATCCCAGTAGCAGCATGTACACACACACAGTGACAATATGGTCTGGCAGTGGAACTATGCCCATGCCCAGACCCTGCCCTACACGAAGACGTCAGCCTCTGCGGGGGCTAGCACATGAAATGGAGCATGACAGCGGACTCCATCCAGACCTGTGGGCCCTACGGAGCCCTGCACACAGGAACTCAGAGCCTGTGTTCCCTGCCAATGCCACACACAGGTACCTGTGGCAGGAATTAGGACGCTCATAACCACAGGAGCCCAGGAACATCCAAAATGTTCATCAACAGCCCGTTGGATAAGCACACTGCGGCTTGCCTGAACAGGGGTCGTGAGGCAGTGGGTGTGAACAAGCCTGGACCCAGATTAGCTCAGGAAGACACTGGGTGGGAATAATATATAGAGTGCAGTGGGCTCTAGTTCCAGAAGATCTAATTGTTAGGTTTGTGTATAAAGGTGAAGAGAAAGGAAAGATTGCCATCCGAAGAATCTGGGGAGGTGGCTCCATTGCTGGGGCTGGTGGCACATGCCTGTAATCCTATCACTCAACAGGCAGAAGTACAAGGATCACGGGCTTGAGGCCAGCTTGGCTGCAGGGAGGTCAAGGCCAGGCTGAGCTACACAGCCACATGGTGTCTCAGAAACACAGAGGCATGGATGGTGTGCTCCCTTCCTTGGGTGGTAGCTACAAGCTCAATTGTTTTATGGTATGTTTTATTGTTGCTAACGTGTATCTATTTCACCCTCCCCAAAAGATGAAAAGAAGGGAAAATGCCAACCTGTTCCTTGAAATTAAAAAGCCAACCAAGGGGCTGGGAAGGTGGCTCAGTGGTAGAGCGCTTGCCTTGCATGCATGAGGCTCTGGGTTTGATCCCTCAGCACCACATAAGCAGAAAAAGCCGGAAGTGGCGCTGTGGCTCAAGTAGTAGAGCACCCGCCTTGAGCTGAAGAGCTGAGGGACAGCGCCCAGACCCAGAGTTGAAGCCCCACAACCGACCAAAAAAAAAAGCCAACCTGTAAGCTGGGTGCCAGTGGCTCATGGCTGTTATTCTAGCTACGCAGGGGGCTGAGATTTGAGAATCGCAGTTCAAAGCCAAACCTGATAGAAAAATCTATGAGACTCTTATCTTCAGTTAACCAAGAGAAAGCCAGAAGTGGAGCTTGGCTCAAGTAGCAGAGTGCCAGCCTTGAACGAAAAAGCTAAGGGACAGTGCCCAGGCCCTGAGTTCAACCCTAGTACAGGCAAAGAAAATTGAAAAACAAACACAGAATGGCTGGGCACAGTAGTACACACTTGTAGTCCCAGTTGTATAGGATGCTGAGGCAGGAGGGGAGTAAGAACCCACCCACATGGTGGCTGAAGTATAGTTTCTACCTTGGCTCAAAAGATGTCATTGTGGTTGGCTCTGTACCCCAACAGACAGATGCCTCGGTGCCCCTGAGCCGTCCTTGTCCCCTGTGGCAGGCTGGTGCCCAGCCGGTTCCAGAAGAGCTGGGAGAGTGGAAAATCCCGGAGAGATGCGCCAGCCCTTCAGCTTGCATGAAGGGAGAAGCGACCGCAGGGCCCTGCATGCTGATGAGGCTGGCTGCCTGTCCCGGGTGTCCGTCCTCTCCTGCCACAGCCCAGGAAACAGCCTCCCAGCCAGGGAGGAGAAGATGCTATGGGTCAGGCAGCGCCTCACCACACAGGCCACAGGGGGCCCCCACAAAGCACCACCTGGGGCAGAAATCCAGGCTCCCAGGCCCTGTACCCGATGCAAAGGCTGCCTCCCAGGGCAGGGTCTGGAGCCACCATGGCCTGGGGAAGAGCTCAGTACTGGGTCCAATGGTGGGGAGGGGAGGGAGGGGCAAGTTAAGGAACGGCCTCTGACTGCAAGGGCCACTGGGACAAGCTAAGGCAATAGACTGGAAGTGGTTCATGATGGGTCTGATCAGAGTTAAGCACTCAGTGAGTCTCAGCTGTCTTTATTCTCAGGACATGGTGTTTCCCTCAAGGAGCTCCAGGTCTAGACAGAGAAGCAGTGCCACAAATGGAAACTCTTACTTAGGCTGCTCCCAGACTGCAGAGAGAACATACTTCTAGAACATTCACAACAGTGCTAGGACCTGAGGCCATGCAGGGGACTCAGCCATGAGCTCAAGTCTGCAGTCTGTGTAGGAATCCAGAAAGGCCAGGCATGGTGACTCGTGCCTATAATCCTGCCGGCTCAGGAAGCAGAGATCAGGAAGATCAAGGTTGGAAGCCAGACCTCGGCTCAATCAATAAGCCATGCTGTGGTGCTTCAAGACTTTAATCCCAGCTGGTGGGAAGGAGAAATAGGATTGAGATCTGAGGGTAGCCCCAGACCAAAAAAACCCCACTATCCTATCTAGAAAATAACCTAAAGGGAAGAGATCTCTGGGTATGGTTCAACTGGCAGAGCACCTACTTGAAGCCTTTAGTTCAAGCCCTAGTATTGTCAATGTTTTCTTTAATTTTTACCCAATGATTACTCATTTTGCAGGATTCTAGGTAAACTATAAAATGTTTCCACAGGTTTTTTTTTTTGGGGGGGGTTGTTTGCTTGCTTTTGGTTCTGGGCACTGAACCCAGAACCTTGTACATGTTAGGCAAGTACTCTCCCACTTCAACAATGCCCTTAGGCCTTTTTCAGGTAGGGTCTTATCTTTATTCAGGCTGGCCTCAAACTGTGATCCTCCAGTCTCTGCCTTCCAAGATTTCTATGGTGTTTATTGAGCCCCAGACACATGTATCGATTGAATGACAGGGAGGTGAAGGCTGGCCTCCCCACCACAGAGGTAAATAGCACCAGGTCACACTTGGGTGGAGAGGCTCTCAGGCTGAGGGTCAAGGTCAAAGTCTCACACCTAGGGCCACCAGAGCAGCAAGAACATAAAGACGGAGCTAGCACTACATCATCATCTAACACAAAAACAACCTAAACACCTTTCCTTCTCTAACGTCTGCTAGGCTAGCCCCATGTTGCCCTTACTACATAGTGTCTCCAGAGACTGGACACCCTTCGAAAGCAGGGTGAACATGGTATGAATGAACACGGGCAAAGCCCGCCAGAGCTGGTCCTGTTGACTTTGTTTCTCTCCACATTCTCAGCTGCTGCTGCCCAGGCCAAGCCTTCATAAACAGCCGCGACATCCTGGTTGCTCAGGGTATATAAAAAGTTCTCACCCCCTTTGCCCTGGCAGAAGGTCTGGATATTAAATGCTGCCTTCCAAACGCATGAAACAGATACCCCACTTTATTTTTAAGCATCTCCTCTGCAAGTATGGACAGTTAATAAATAATGGAGCAGTGATTGTGATTGGTCCTCTGGGATTCTGGGAGTGGTATTTGATTGGGCTGACTCCAATCCCAGTGAGGAGACCCCAGGGACTGAGAAAAGGTTTCCTATGAAGAGAAGGGGGCGGAGCTACGATTCCAAGCTTGTCAATCAGAGTTCTTTCTGATGGAAGCCCCCCAGCGGTGGGGAAAGAGAATGGAACTTTGCAGCCACCTACTTCATCAAGGTCATTTTTGCCCCCATAAACATGGTAAAGGTGTCCACCGCTCCATACTCACTGCCACCAGCACTGGGGGACTCATTCCCAGCACTACCTCCAGCACAGCTTCGAACAAGCCA